ATACCAAATATCTAATCCTTAATAGGATTCTGATACCTGAGAGTGAAAAACAAAAGAACTCAACCTTTAATGTTCCAGTTTTCTGATGGAAGGTACTTTTTAGACTAGACAACAAGGAAAGGGAACTCACAGAGAGATCAATTTGTTAAGTTAGTCAGAGTTCGGGGAAGCTGTGGCAGCTGAAATTTGTGGGTTTGTGTACTGGAGGTACTATGCAGAGAAACAACTCCAGAAATCTATATGTATCACCTTAAATCTTTAGGTGAATAATAAACTATCCACTAGGCTGGACTGAGAACAATGATGAGACAGTTCTGTGTTTTACAGGAATGGAACTGCCTTAGAATTTTTACTCCTCCATTCACTGGCTGGAAGCAGCCTATGTGGGAAATATATCCTCAATGCAGATGTAGAAGTGAATTTCAGATCACAAAAGTGAGGGCCATTGGACTGCTTTGTTCCCTGAAGTCAGTAATCTGAGAAATGCATTCTTATGATCACCATTGTCCAGCTGTCAGCTGCATATAAAAGGCACATAGAAGCTTTGGGAGGTGATGGAAAATACTTAGGTATCTTGATTATGGTTAGGGTAATGTTCCAATAAACATTTGTTTAAACTCCTTGGACTAGTTACTTATAATGAGTGAATCTTATTGTAAATAAATTGTACCTCTATAGGTGGTAAAAACATTCAATATATCTTTCCTGGAATAAATGACTTAAATTTACATATTCAAAGAGCCCACAGTTCCAGAAAATATCCTAGTAAAATAGACTTTCAAGATAAAGTATCCTCTAAGCTWCAAGGCAAAAACATTTCATCATTTTGAAAGAGCCTGGGGGTATAGTTCAGAGGTAAAGTACTTGTCTAGCTATGTGCAAGGTTAGGTTAACAACAGATATAGACATTCAATGTAATCCCTATTAAAATCCTAAWAGCATTTTTCACAGCAACAACAACAAAAAATAATCCTAAAATTTCTTGTGAAACCAGAAAGATTCCAAATGGCTAAAGCCACCTTGAAAAAGAAAACAAGCTAGAGGCATCTTACTTGTTGGTTTCAAATTATATTACAAAGGCAAAACAATAAAAATAGAATGATACTGGTATAAAAACAGACACATGAACCTATAGGTCAGAATTGAAAGCCCAGAACTAAATCCACACATACATACACAATCAACTAATTTTCAAAAAAGATGCCCAGAATACATAATTGGAAAAGGATAGTCTCTATAGTAAATATTGGGGAAACTGGATGTCCCCATGCAAGAGAATGAAGTTAGATTCTTATACTGTACAAAAAAGTCAACTCAAACTGGGTTAAAGACTTGGATATAAAACCTGATACTGTCAAACTCTAGAATACAGCCAATAGGTAAATCTCCTTGACATTGGTTTTGGCAATAGATTTGACATCGAAGAACAGGAAACAAAAGTAAAAAAAATTAAATGGGACTACATCAAACCAAAAAGTTTTTGTACTGCAATGTAAATAGCCAACAAAATGAKAAGGCAGCTTATTAAATGGAGAAAATATTTGCAAACCATTATATTTTATAAGGGGTTAATATCGAAAATATAAATAGAACTCATTATAACCCAGTAGCCCCACCAAGAAAAAAATAATGGACAAATGACTTGAATAGACATTCTTCCAAAGAAGATATACAAATAGCCAACAGGTATTTGAAAGGGTGCTTAATATCACTAATCATTAGGGAAAGGCAAATTAAAACCACAGTGAGATATCGCCTCAAGCCTATTAGGAGGTCTCTTATCAAAAACTCAAACAATAACAGGAGTTGGCAAGAATTTAGGTAAAAGTACATTTCAGGTGGGAATGTAAATTGTTATAGCCACTGTAGAAAAATATATGATAGTTCTTTGAAAAATTAGAAATAAAACTACCTTATATTCCAGTATTGTACTTCTGGATATAAGTCCAAAGGAAATCACTATCTTGAAAAGACATTATTACAGCCAGAATGGGAAAACAATCTAATTGATAATGAATGAATAAGGAGAATTTTAAAAATATGTATATGTATATATATATATATATATATATATATATGGAATGTAGTATCATTCAGCCTTTAATAAGAAAGCAAGCTTGCCATTTGCAACATGGATGAATTTGTAGAGCATTATGCTAAGTGAAATAAGTGAGACACAGAAAGAGTATGATCTCACCTACCTGTGAAACCAAAAATCAATAAARAGTAGAATGATTGTCACCAGGGGCCGAAAAGTAGGGGAAAAAGATGTTGGTCAAAGGGTACCAAAACTGTTTTATTAGCCAACATTTTGAAAAGTTGGAGAGTTCATATTTTTAAAAAATTATTTTTTAAAGAGAAAGGTCCTTGGGGAAAGAAGGAAACAATGACACAAAAATTTTGAGAAACACTGCAACAGAAACAACATATGAATATCTCTAAAATTCACAGTACCAGGCTCATTTACAAAGCGAATTAGGAAGTTCCATGAAGATTAGTCAATTTCTATTTCTTAAGAGAATTAAATAAGATAAAAATCAAATACTTCTGAAGTTCTAATGTGATTTTCATCATTCATTACAYTGCAGTATAATCAATAAAACTGATTTACTTGCCAAAGAAAGTGTGGTATTTACTGACAATGGAATGTCATTTATCTTTAGCGGGGGTGAGGTTTGGGGGAGAGAAAGGGAAAGATATATCGAGATCCTTCTTTTGACAACATGGATGAACAACATGGGTGTTATGCTAAGTAAAGTAAGCCATACAATAGGACTAATACTACATATCATTCTACTTACATAAGAAATCTATAGTCAAACTCATAGAAGCATGGAGTAGAATGATTGCTGCTGGGCCTAGGGGTGAAGAGCAGGGAATGCATCAAAAAGTATAAAATTTGCTATGTGCAGGATGAATAAGTCCTGGAGACCTGATATACAGCATTGTTTCTATTGTTTAAAATACTGTATTATATATAAAGATTTGCTAAGAGCATAAATTTTATATAAATGTTATATCACAAAAATAAAGAGGGTGCATGAAAACAAAGGGTGTGGAGCTCAAGAAAGAGATGGATCCTAGAGATAAGAGTTCTGAGTCATTGATATAATTGATTTTCATAGTCATGGTAGTAATAATAAGGCTATTGGGGTTGGAGTGTGTAGAAATACAGACGACTGTAGAACACCAATTTCAATGGGAGGTATAGAAATGTGAACTAGAAAAGAAGACTAAGAAATTTCCATCCAAGAAATGAAAAAGCCAAGGAAGTAGAGGGGCAGTTTATAGGATTAGATATGGCCAAAGGGCACATAAGATCAGAACTTATGTTTAGGTTTGATCATTTGAAGATGGATGATTACTGTTGCCAGAATAGTTACAGTAGAGGTCAATGCAAAATGGCAGCGAAGGCATGAACAAGTAGCACAGCTGGCTAATTCTTTGACCTCTTCTTGCTAAATTTTACCTCCTCTGAGTACATAATAAATCAGTAAGCTTCCTGGTGTAAAACACTATTCATCCACAAAAATAAAAGTAATTTCCTCATTATCTTGAACAGTTGAGAAGCATTCAAGCAAATACTGGAGGTATTCGGAAGAATGAGCAAGGAGGAGATGGGGCAAGAGTCATCAAATATAACTTGGAAAACTCTTGTTTCAGGTTTTGGACTTAATGGCTCATATATAATATTAATAAGTATTGAATTTTATTCAACAAATATGTTTAATAATAAYAATGAATACTCAACACTTCTTATTTTTATTTGAAATCTCATTATCTTTCCTAATACTGTATTTTACAATATATAATAGAGAACAGAGAATAACTTATGTATCTTCTGTTCCTATAGTCAAAGAAACTGACAGTTACATATATATAAATCTTAGGACTTGGACAAAATAGAGACCACCTTTCATTCCGAAAACCTATGCAATATATGCATTTATGAGATAATTTTTGTTATAGATCTTAAACTTTCTGTGGAGATAATTAAACTGTGAGTTGTTCTCATGTTTATCTGCCTAGAATTAGACTTTCACAAAGAAAATTATCAAAATTTTACTTCAGGGAAGGTATGATTATGGAAAAGTATAGAAAAGTAATATATGTTTTAAAAGTTCAGAAGACATTTATGTTGTTCTATTTTATAACAGCCTAGAATTTCTTTTCAAGTATAAAGCTTTTGACTAAAACAACATTTAATATCCCAACTTTTACCTAAAAAACACAAAAATATGATATGACTAATTGCTCTTATCTTTCTTTGTTCTCTATGTCCTCATAATTTTCTCTTATAAAGCACAGTGAAGTAAGCCAGGTGTAGTGGTGCATGCATGCCTATAATCCCCATAGTTTGAGAGGCTGAGGCAGGAGGATCACTAGTTCAAAGCGAGCCTCAACAACTTAGTGAGGTCCTAAGCAACTCAGTGGGACCCTGTCTCTAAATAAAATATAAAAAAAAGGGCTGAGAGATGTGGCTAAGTGGTAAAGTACCCTGAGTTCAATCCCTGGTGACAAAACACACACCCACATGCCCACATACACTGAAGTAAAAATTATGAAAATGGATCTGGGGTTGTGGCTTAGCAGTAGAGCGCTCCTCTAGCATGTGCAAGACCCTGGGTTCGATCCTCAGCACCACATAAAAATAAATAAAATAAAGGTATTGTGTCCAACTACAACTAAAAAAATATTTTTTAAAAATTATGAAAATGTATTTTCCAAGCTGTCATTTCCCATATTTAGCAATGTGTCCTTGAATTTGTGTTTCTTGGAAATTACATCTATGGCCTCCACAGAYTCTGTGTCTCAGCTCCTCCTAAGTACAATAACATTTCATAAATGGAAGATCCTAGCAGGCCAAATCCCTTCTCTTTGAAAATATTTTTTCCACCAGAAAGAATCAAAACAATACTGAATAAATACATTAAACAAACAGTTCTCTCMTTTTATATGTTTTTTTCACAACTAAGATACCTTTCTTTTCTTCCTCATAGGTACCAGAGATTTGAAAAGGCATTTCTCCTAGCTGTTGACATTGGTGCTCGCGACCTGTTTATGGTGAGTCATTCCCTGAGATGATTTTGTGCCTTCAGTTCTAAGGCTGAGTAAGTTGTCAGCTTTTATGACCATTAAAAAGGATTAGTGTCATTTGCAGCCTTAGACACATGGTGGGAAAGCATTATTCCATCTTGGCTTGCAGCTTTGCCTTCGTGAAACTGGTCAATAGCTATCTAGTATCTTTTGACTTGTTGACATTTTCCTTGCCAGTGCCCAAAGGATCTTTTATGTTTTCTAAGAATTTATAATTCTTGAATTTTTCTCCTTATGTACCTCGATGTGAGGGTATGACACCTTTCTATATAATAAGCTTAAATGTCTTTCTAATCCATTCTCTGAAGAAGTGGTATACTGCTACAGAAGATAGGACACAGGGCAAAAAAGTGTCCCATAGATCTTGAAGGTGCACAGTATGTCCCTTAGATTTTAGCGAAAAGTAACAAATTATAAATGTTCTCACCGGTATTTTTAAAGTAACCATAGTACAAAGTGAATTTAAGAAGTTATAAATTCATATATACTCTAGTTCTTTCATTTATTAGTACAGAACCATAAAATTGACCAGGATTTCTTACAGATCCTTGTGCTTTGTAACAGATTCTTGTTTTGTAAGATCTTATGCCACAGTTAGGTCAGGTGAACAAATCCTTCCCTGATTTCCCAGCATATTCTATTGTTATCAAAGAAACAATAGAGCAAAAGCTTCTTGAAAACAAGAAAAAATTCTGGAATGCTCTTTTACCAGAATCTTTTATACTATGAAGACATTTTGTAGTTTATTAAGCTTTTTTATGCTCTTTTTGTTTTCTTTGTATATTAGTTTTGGTACTGGAGATTTAACCCAGGAGCACTTTACCACTGAGCTACATCCTCAGTCATTTTTTAAAGTTTTTTTTATTTTGAGGCAGGTTCTCATTGCTTAGGGCCTTGTTAAACTGCTAAGGCTGGTCTTGAGCCTCTGGGATTACAGGTGTGAGTGCACTGCCATGCCTGGCTCGCTTTTGTTTTTTATATTTCTTTTTTTTTATTGTTGGTTGTTCAAAACATTACATAGTTCTTGATATATCATATTTCACAC